ACACTGCATATATTCTTCTTAGTGGTTAATTGCTGTACAAGATGCAGACTTGAGATCCTATTTACAAACACCATCATTTTGGTGATTTCTTTTGTCTGTGTTCAGCTCATTAACACCTGGTTCTATTATAGAGAATAAAGTCCTTCTGTTGAGTTTTAATTTTGTTTACTTTTTTATTTCTAGAAGTTCTCTTTGGTTCTTTTTCAAGTCAATCACATTTTTAGTAGTTTTCTAGTTTTAATAGATATTTTAAGCTTGTAGGGGTTTTTTGCTTTAATTTAAATATAGAATTTTATTATTTATAGCTCATAATATCTGAATTCCTTGGTGGGTCTCTTTCTTGTGATTATTGTATGCTTATTCTTGCTGGATTAAGTTTGCTAAAACAAATCTCATCAATCATGAAAAAAAGAGAACCAGATGTCTTCCACCTTCTTTCCATTTTCATCTTTACCAGGATGTTGGCTCAAGATGCATTAACAGTACATTAACCTGCTTTACCACAGCCTAAAAGCAATCTTTGGCAGGTATTGTTACCCCTGTAAGCGCCAGCCAGTGAGCTGAAGCTGACTGAATGTCTTCCAGGGCTGAAGTGGTAGCCTGCTCATTACAGCTCAAACCAGGCACATGGTTTCTGTTGCCCCTGACTATTGGTCATATGTCCACACAGCACCATTGGAGGACTGTAGTCCTACAGGTATTCATTTGACATGACCCAAGTGGAGAGTGAGATTAGACATGGAGCCTGAGGGAAAATTTGTAGGTGAAACCATGTGCTGTCCAGGATTATATGAAACAGTTGGCAAATGTTGGTAATTGGTGAAGCTGGGCATGTGTTAATTCATCAAACTGTCAGCTTTTGTGCATGTTTCAAACTTCCTTGAGAAGTTGTGCTTTTTCTTCCTAAAGGAACTTTCTTTGGGCCCACCTTTTCTTTCATCCCCAGGCTGATGTGATGATGGACAAGGTCCCCTGTTGCCCAGTTTGCACTGGCATTGTGAAGCCTGACATTGTGTTCTTTGGGGAGCCGCTGCCTGAGAGGTTCTTGCTACATGTGCTTGATTTTCCCATGGCAGATCTGCTGCTCATCCTTGGGACCTCCCTGGAGGTTTGTCAGAAGGCCTGTGGGGAGTGGGCTGAAGGATAAGGAGGCAAGTGTGTCTCTCAGAGGGGTGCATATGTGTGCATGTAGATGGCACTGCAGGCCATGTAGAAGTCTGGGAAGTGTAGTGGGAAGAGTTGGAAGGGTGGGCTAGCTGTTGAGGCCAGATCAGAAAGACTAGTACCATGCTAGGACCAGTGATAAACTTGAAAGGAACTGAGCCAGGGACAGAGCTGACCCTTGTGCCTGGACACCGGATGCCAGTCGTATAGAAAGCAGGGGAGAGATTTTGGGTTTCTACAAGAATGAAATTCCTGAGGTTGAGACTATAAGCTCAGCAGCGGAGCACCTGCCCGGCAAATTCAAGGTCTTAAGTTCAATTCATGGTACAAAAAAAAAAAAAAAAAAAAAAAAATCAGAGAAAAAAAGGTAAAACCGGTTTTTTCTTTTTTTTTTTTTTTTTTTTTTTTTTTTTTTTTTTTTTTTTTTTTTTTTCAGAATCAGGGATTGAACTCAGGCCCCTGTGCTTGCCAGGCAAGCACTTATTCTACTAAACTACTTACTTTTCTTTGGATTGCATATTGGCATATCTTGCCTATTTTTCATTGGGTTATAAATTAGCAACAGAAATTATTTTATAAATTACATGTTTATGAATTAGTTTATCAGTTAGAAATATAAACTAAAAAAAATTTAAAAAGAAATATAAACTCACATATACTGTCTATAGTGATTTTTTTTACATTTTAAAATTTTCTATGGTAATTTGTGTTGGTACTAAAATGACAGTATTTACAGAGTCAAATCTGTTGAATTCCTTTGTCTTATTAGACTTCAGTTGTGCTTAAAACTCCTTTTATCTCCTTACCTGTAAAGCCTATTTTCTTCAAGAACATTTAAATCTTTAATGCATTTGAAATTTTTTTCAATGAAAGGTGGGAATTGATAATTTACCTCCCAGTTTTGATATCATCTATTATTTTACCTTTTTTTTTGCGGAACCGGGGATTGAACTCAAGCCCTTACGTTTGCCAAGGAAGTGCTTATTCTACTGAGCCATCTCCCCAGCCCCAATTTACCCTTTTTTAAAAACATTGTTACTTATGAAAGAAACTTTCATTTGAGAGCCTGTGTAGAAGCCTGATGGCTTGGCATTCGGCCTCCCTGGCTTCATCTGGTAATGACAGGATATGGAATAGTACTCAGCCCTGTCGGATCCTGCAGGGGCTGTGGCTCCTCTGCCAGGTAGGAGACAAGTGTAGCAGAGGCTGCTAGCAGGGGCAGTGTGGTATAGTAGGTAGGGCAAGGAGAAAGAAGATGCTTGCAGGCAGAGTGCAGCTGCAGGTGGGACGGAGGTGGTGAGAGGCCAAGGCAAATATACCAGAAGAGGAAAGGGAGGCATGGGAGGAAAAGGCTATCCAGACTAAGTAGGAAGCTCCGCATGTCCCAGGTTCTGGCTCTCATCTCCTACCTATCAAGGCCTCTGTGGCTGTGGCATCATACCCTGATGGTTCATTGGGTGGACCATGTTCTTGCATTTGTGCTGTTTTTCAGGTGGAACCTTTTGCCAGTTTGTCTGAGGCTGTACGTGGCTCAGTGCCTCGACTGCTCATCAACCGGGACCTAGTGGGACCCTTTGCTTGGCATCCTCGCAGCAGAGATGTGGTCCAGCTAGGGGATGTGGTTCACAATGTGGAAAGGCTGGTGGAGCTTCTGGGCTGGACAGAAGAGCTGCAGGACCTTGTCCAGCGGGAAACTGGAAAGGTACAGGCCATAAAGCTCTGGGGTCTGTTCCACTTACAGTGAAGCACTATTGGCCGTAACGGTTTAACTGCTGGTGTTGCTATGAATTTTGACTGAGCTCTGAGTTGGACCCACTGCCAGCACTGAGAGGAACATTCCTGCTCCCAAGGTCTCACAGTGAATAGTGGCTCTAGGCAGTTTCTGTTACTCCACAGGCTACTGCCTTTTGCTCTCCTCTGAGGCTCTGGACAGCTGAAATGCTCTGCATCACCAGTAGTTTTGGGAAACAGTGAGTGTGAGGTGTTGTCTGTTACCACCCACTGAGGGAAAACCAGAGAGGCTTGCTTTCTAGATTTCACTCTTCCCCGAACAAGTGAAATCATGGAAAATGCTGGTTCCTGTGAAAATCATTAACACGTTTAGCTTCAGCAATCAGAGATAGTTTTACAATAGGTAGCATTAGCAGTGGAAGCCTAGTTTTAAGCTTACGGACAGATAGAAGACTGCCCATGGATTTCATAAGAATATACTGCAGGGGCTGGTGAGATGGCTCAGTGGTCTAAAGCACCTACTTAGAACAAGCTTAGCAAAGTACAGGGACCGCGGTTCAATCCCCCAGCACC